CCATCACTCCTTATTCCTCCCCTAACAGACAAAGGAGATCTGCCCTTTTCTATGACCTCATTAACCTTGTATTGGCTGATGGGAGGGGGAGTGGAGCTGGGTATCCCACGAGGGAGTGGTCTCTTAAGCCCCAGACCAAGTGCTACATTCAGTGCTATAGAATGTTGGTCATTTCTAGTTCTTAGAGGGACATCCTAATGAGAGATGAACAATTCTGTAGCTTCCTCCTAGTGTCTTCAAGGCTATACAGACACCCAAGGCTGTTGGATCCTAGACTGACCCAGCTTGAGTATAGCCTTTGGAAGGGAGCCCTGAAGGTCATGTTAGGGGCAGGGTTAAGGAAAGAATCTTGAACAAGGGAGTCATTAGACTTGGGGTTCAGTCCAGTAACTTGATTAAGTGGCAGTGGGAATTTGGGCAGTTAACTTTCTCCCTCCTTTCCTCATTAGTAAAATGGGAAATGGACATTCTGGCCCTGACACCTTCACATGGTTGTTTATAAGGATCAAATGAAATGTTAGTGTGATCTGGTTTTTATGGTTCCTGGACCAGTAACAAATTTGTTGAAATTCAGAGCAAGAAGGAACCTGAGGAGATAGAATGTCAGAGTTGAAAGGGATCTTGAACCAAAGCACACAGAATATGAATATTAGAGCTGGAAGGAATTTTGGAAGGTAGAACAGAAAGCTAGAGCTGGAGAGGAGCTTAGAATATGGAATCACTGTGCTGGAAGTGACCTTAAAGATTACCTAGTTCAATCCTCTCTAAAGAAGGGAAAACTGTGGGACAGCTAGGTGGTGCAGTGGATAGAGCACCTGCCCTGGATTCAGGAGGACCTGAGTTCAAATCTGGCCTCCGACACACAATACTTACTTGCTGTGTGACCCTGGGCAAGTCACTTAACCCCATTGCCCAACCCCCCCAAAATAAAATAAAATAAAAAAAGAAGGGGAAACTGAGACTCAAAGTAACTTGCTCAAGGCTACACTGTGCATTAGTGGTAGGGTCTGAATCAGAGCCCAGGTTTCCCGATGTTTAATCTAGGCTCTTTCCAGTCAGTCAGCAAAGTATTAGGTGTCTCAGAGATTATGCTTCATTTAGTTCCTCATTCCCATTCCCTTACCACCACCAACTTCAAAAAGTAAAAAGCCCCCATTCCCTCAAGAGAGGCAATAAAATCCACTGCACTGTGTAGGTGATGTGTTATGGGGGCTACAGTATGGGTGATGGAGAACAGGAGTCCCAGCAAAATAGAGCTGAAAGACCCATTCCTTAAGTCCTGGGTCCTTCTCTCCTCCCATCCCCTTCACCTCCCTTTCCCAGCTAAAGCATCATGGAATAGATTTTCTTGGGCACCATTATAGCCATTATCCTCAGGTCACGGACTCCAAAGTCCAGTTGAATATGGATAGAACTCCAGAGGCATTACCACACACATTTGTGCACATACATGCTTGAATGCGTGCGTACAGGCTGGCTCATACACACTCTGGCAGACCTCCCTTCCTGCCATTCCCCCCCCCCCCTTTCCTTGGTGAAGAGGGCCTGAGCCAGGTTGCCATGACAACAGCAAGGCTGATGCTGAGAGAGTGGGCCTGGTGGGGCCAACCCTAGTGGATATTTATGATGTGGCTGACAGGTGGAAATGAAAGGGGTAGGGGTGAGGGCAGGAAGACAGAGGGGATGGAAAGGCAGGGAGTCACCCTCTTTTCCTCATGTACAATATTCTCCTTGGCCCCCAGATGGGGATGCGACAGAGAAGCTCACTCCCCCAGCCATGTGGGGGCTTTAAAAGCCATCTGATTCTGGAAAAGTACTGCCTTCTCCCTCATTCCTTCATCAAACACCTTCTCCTTCCCCCGTCCAACACCTCCTACTAAGCTAAACAACTGCTTCATCCATCAAATGCCTCCCACTACTCTAAATACTTTCTCTCCCATCCCATCATTCTTTCCTCTATTCCTTACTCCTTCCATTTCCCCTCCATCACACGACCCATCAGCACATATCCCTTTCTTCCATCAAATCTATTCTCTCCCTCAAGATCAGTCCTGAAATACCTTGTCGGCAACACAGAGGAGCCTGGAGATTGTAATGGGTATAAGGGACTGCTCAGTGGAACCACAGATCAAGCTTCCAAGCATAGACAGAAACTGAGATTGAGCCTAGGACCACACATGATCTCTTCTTATTTGAACAACCAGACCTTTTGCTAATTATCAACAATAATAATAGTAATGACTCATATGTCACTTTCTTCACAACCACTGTGTGAGGTAGGTAGTGTAAATATTCTCTTCATTTGACAAATGATGAAACAGGATCAGAGAGGCCAAGGTTATACTGTTAGAGAGATCTGCTCCTCTTCCAGCAGCTCTTTCCATCACACCATATTTTATTTGTGGCAAAAACCTGTTTGCAGACCCCTCAGCTTGAACTTCGTGTCTTGCTTTAGCAATAGTGGGGGGAAGGGTCCTTGTTCTGGTCCCCTGATTATCCAAAACTAGTCTTTCCCAGGCAGGAAAAGTGATTCTGTGGTCCTGCTCATGTTCCAGTAAGGTCAAACGATACAATGGAGGGCAGGCTTTGTCTCCCTTGGGATCCCAAGCATGACTCTGACTACCAAAGCCTGATGCAGCTTAATCATTCAATTCTCCAGCTGGGGCAAGAGGGTGGAGGTGGGGGGAAGGGGCTCCAACAGGGACTACTGAGGCCCAGCAGATTCAGTGCAGTGTGGTAGGAGAGGGTTAGCAGGAATAACACCAGGGACAGAGATTGCATCTCCCTGGAATGCAGGTCCCCCTCTCTACCTCCAAATAATTATCGAATGTCAGGGCTGGAAGGGACTTTAGGGAGCACCATGTCATTTTATATATGAGGGAACAGAGGCCCCCAAACTCATAAAATTAGTGACTGAGCCTTGTGAGATATGATTCCAGGTCTCCAGACTCCAAATATAGTACTGAATCTTGCCCATTCTTCAGAACACAGCTCCAACGTCCATCTTCTCCACAAATCCTCCCAGTGAGCTTCCCCTCTTCTGCTCAATTAACCCCAGTGGGTCCCAGTGCCTCAAGGAATAAATATCAATTTGTTTGGCATTAAAAACCTGGGTCCAATTTACTTTTCCAATCTCATTATAGTCCCTTTTAGAGGATTTTAACCCTTTCATCTCCAGGACTCCTTTTCCTTACCCCACCCCCACCATTGATGTAGGCATCTCTATAGTCACTATTTTGGGTAAGCAGACCTCAGGCATGCTCTGCTTTTAGTCCTTACTCCCCTCACCCCATTCCACCTTGTGAATACCTGCAAACCCCACTCCTCCTCAGTTTGAGAACTATGATCAAATCTCCATTGTTATAGTTTCTGAAGGGGTATATCCTAACCACTCTCCCATAGTCCTACTTACCATCTTGGTAACATTCCAGATCAAAGTGTCCCTCCCTGACCACTATTCCCTGATATGTGTTAGAAGGTAAGCTCCTTGAGGGCAGGGACTATCTTTGCTTTTGTATCTCCAAGGCTTGGCACATAGTAAGAACTTAATAAATGCTTGTTCATTCATTCATTCATTCATTCATGGTCTAGTCATGCTGTCCTTGTTGTTCCTTTCACACATTCCATCTCTGTCCCCCATGCCAGGAAGACACTCCTTCTTTACCTCTACCTCTTAGAAGCCCCAATTCCTTTCAAACCTCAGCTCAAGGGGACAGCTGGTGGTGCAGTGGCTAAAGCTCCAGCCTTGGAGTCAGGTGGACCTCAGTTCAAATCCAGCCTCTGACACTTGACACTTAGTAGCTGTGTGACCCTGGGCAAGTCACTTAACCTCGATTGCCTCACCAAAAATAAATAAATCAAAGCTCAGCTCAAATGCTGCCTCCAACATGAGGCTTTTCCTGATTCCCCTAGCCTCTAGTGCTTCCCCTCCTGCTTCCTAATTAACCTTCTATTTATTTCCTATGTGTACATGTTATGTCCCCCTAACAGGATACAAGCACCTTGAGGACAGACCAGTTCATTGCTTTTGTATCAATATTTTGCCTTTGCTCAGTGCCTAGCACTTAATAAATACCTAGTGAACACTGGTAGCACTTACCACCCATGCCACTCCATGGACACTGATCACAGCTGGCCTGACCCTGCTAATATGTTTCACATCTGTGCCTCATCTCTTCAACAAAGCTAAGGTTCTGTAGGGGAAGGTCTAGATTTTACTTCTCTCTGGGTCCCCTCTCATGCAGATCTGGCATGTGATGTACGTGGTAAATGTTTGCTGAGTAAGTGGTGGCTATGGAAATGCACTCTGTGGACAGTGTGGCCACAGTCACTAGCAATACCACAGGCCTGATGGGAAGGGGAACCTATCTGTGGCTCTATTCAGCAAGCCCTAGTGGCATCAGGACCCATTGCTCTATGTTTTCAGATTCTTTGGCAGGATGGTCAAAAGGAGAATTCACTACCCTGGAAACTAGATCTTAGTAATAATAGCTAGCATTTATAAAACCCTTTGAGGTTTCCAAAGTGCCTAAAAATATTGTCTTATCTTAACCTTACAATAACCCTGGGAAGCTAGTGCCATTTTACAGATAGAAATCTGAGGCAGACAGAGGTTGAGTCACTTGTATCCCCAGGGTCACATAGCTAGTAAGTGACTGTAGGTGGATTTGAACTCAGGTCTTCGAAATTCCAGGTCTAGCACTCTATTCACTAAGCCACCAGTTCTAAGAATGGAGCTTTTTCATCCCAGGCTCTCTTGCCACTTGGAAAAGCTGGTTGGGACTGTAGCAGGAATGCTATCAGCCTCTTCACTCACCTCCCTCTCCCCACAACTGGGAAAATGCTGGCATCCAGGGAGCCCTTTTTCCAGCCTAGCCTCTGGCACCCCTGAAATAGCTCTGGAACACCTGACTCCTTAGGTCCTGGCCCCATGGTTGTTCCCAGGCCAGCGGAAGGAATGTCTGCCCTTTATAAGAATGACAACAATAAAACTCCAACCCTTCACATGTACATAGAGTTTTACAGTTCACAAAGCACTTTCGCATTCATATTTAGCCCTTACAACACCATTGTGAGGTCAGCAGGGAAATGTTTCTCCACATTTTACAAGTGGGTAGGCTGAGATATAAAGAGATCATAATTCGTTCTAGGTCACACAGCCAACAGTAGTAAGCATCAAAACCCGGCAAGAAGCCACGTCGTTTTGTGTTTGTTACTACATTTTTTTCTAGAGTTTGAATCAGCCTCGGTTCTATTCCTTGCACTCTGCTTTACACAAAACAATGGCTCATAATAAAACTACGAACTTAGTGAAGTTTGAGTTCAAAGTCTTCCTCCTTGTCCAGGACTCCTATTTCCTTCTAGGTAACCAGTGTCCCCCTCTTGGCCTGGGATCTTTGTAACAGTAGGAAATTGTCTGATGAACTAATTCACATTGACATGTTCTCACTCCCCTTGGCCATTCTTGGGGATTGCTTAATGAAATGTTAAAAGCATTAATGGTGGATTTTCAGACACTGTGACACTTAGATGGATGGGAATGCTTTGGTGAGAACAAACCTTGAAGGCAGCAGCCTATGTATAAAGCCACAGGTTTTCCTTTACATGGGCCCTGTCTGCCCTTTAAAAAACTCACTCCATGGCTTCCTTACTTCCAGCCACCTCCCTAGCACCTCATCACCATGTCCTTGGTGACCAGAGAAAGCTCTGGTCACCTCTGTCTCACCAATAGCCTTGGATGAGAACTGAATGCCTCTGGCCTATGCCCATCAGTCCTTCAGGTTCATGGAGTCTTTGTCCAGTGTAGAGAAGCGAATCAACTTCAGGCTGGGTGGCTGGGGCTTCCTGTCATCCCAGAGGTACTCAGGGGACAGGACCTTGGAAGGCTTGTGGGAAATGAAGCGCCGATTCAGGTGGCTTTCCTCCTGCCAGGCAGCCATGATGCCATTGGCCTTGTCGGCCAGAATGGCCATGTGACAGCCCCCTGTGAACTCATACACCCTTTCCACTCGACCACCAAAGACTGCCCCACCATAGTAGAAGTCTCCCTCACCGTCAGCAACAAAAGCCGTGGACAAGGGCCTCCGTTCATAAGGGAACTGCCACCGAGGAACAGTAAAGTAGCCAGGGTGGATGGCAGCCACCAGTTCTCCTAAAGTCTCTGCACCCCAAGGATTCCAGAACACCATGTCTATATCAAGACAGTAAAGATAGTCTACCTCCCGATGGCCCCTGGAGGCAATGAATTTGTTGATTGATTCCATTCTACGCATGGAAATTTCCTCCCAGTGGGAAAAGCCCTGGATGGGGATGACTGAGAGGTTTCGGCCAGGTCCCAGGAGAACATGGGGTATTGCCTCTGGGTCATCAGTGAAGATATAATAGTTCACCTGAAAACCTTGCATGAAGAATTCTTCAGCTGATTCCAGGAAACGACGGACAAATCTTGTGTATCTGGTGGATGGATACAGAACAGGGTAGGACAATATGAAGTGTGATGTGGAGAGAAAAGAATTCACTCCTGTTTCCTTACCTTCACTTTTATTATTTTCTCCACCTAGAATTCTTCCCCTTCTTCCTGCTACTTACCCATGTTCTACCCATCTTTCAAAGTCCCACTAAAGCTTCCCATCTTTAAGAAATCTTTAACCCCCCTATTTCTCACTGTTGAAGAGAATCTAGACATTGACCTTGAGTGTCCTTAGGACAGGGACAGTGTCTTATGCTTCTTCTCTATTCTTTCTCCTCATCCACCTATCTAAGGCCCAGCATATAGATTATAGATTGATTTCAAGGTGGGGGGCAAGGAGCAAGTCAGAGAGAAATGTCAAAGAGAAAAAGAGAGATATTCCTGGTCCCCTGTCCACCTCTAGCCCAGCCTCTTACTTCCCAACGGCAAATGCTGTGACTCCAATGGTGAGATTCAGCGGCCGATAGGCGTTATTCAGGAGCTCTGAGTTGAATGTCCCTTCAGAGACAATTGGAGCCAGCCATGGTGTAAGCGTCAGTACATCTTTTCGTCTAGTAAGAGAGAAGGGAGAAAATGGTGAAATCAGTGTCCTTCCCTTCACCTTTCCCCAATCTTTTCTAGAACACAGAGCTAGAATCATGGGATTCCAGTGGATTCCAGTGGTCAGTTTGTATTTATGGAGTTTATTTGTGAAAAACACCTTCCAAGTCTGGCATAAAATCTGACTTCACTGAGAGGTAGGAATTTCACCTACACTCGTATCCAAGGTGCTTCAGTCACTGAAAGCCTTTGGCTGTTCAGGTCAGTTATGCTGAGGCTGGACCTTTAATTTCAGCTCATTGCAAAAAGACTTTTGTAAAAATGAGAAAGAAGTTCCCTAAAGGGCCAGTGTTTGACTTTCAGATTCTTTAAAGTAGTGAGGGAAGCCTGGTCAGAACAGTGTGAAGTCACCAGATGAGAGTATTCCAGGGGTCGCTGACCAAAGCTGCTTTCTTCTCTCTCAGTAGGCAGAGTAACAGAATGAATCCTAGAATCTCAGGGTTGAAGGGGAAATCAGAAGGCCTTTAATTCAAGCTGCTCCTGAATCAAAGTCCTCACATGTGGTGAGCCCCGGACTCTTCTTGGAAACCATTAGTAATGGGGAACCTCTGACCTCCTGAGGTAGCTCATTCCACTTTGCGTCAGCTCTAAATAGTGGCAAGTTTTTCCCCATATTAAGTCTACCTTCCTTTCAGCAGCTTTTGTTACTTTCTTCTACTTCTGACTTCTGGAGCAAAGCAGAGCTAATCCTCTCTTCAAATCCTTCAAGGCAGTGATCATACTGTTTTCCTTTCCCAACATATTTTCCCTTTTCCAGGCTAAGTAGCACAGTGGATAGGGCACAAGGCCTGGAGTCAGGAAGACCCAAGTTCAAATCTGCTTTCAAACACTTACAAGCATATTTAACTTCTATTAACCTCAGTCTCCTTAACTCTAAAATGAAATTAATAATAGTACCTACCGTACAGGTTTGTTGTAAAGGGTCAAATCAGATAATACTTGTAAAGTACTTAGAGTACTTGGCACATGATAGGTATTTAATAAATCCTTTTTTTCTTTCTCCTTCCTTCCTTCCCTCCCTCCCTTTTTTCCTTCCTTCCTTCCTTTCTCACTCATATTGCATAGCTCCCTAACATAATGACATCCTGATCGATCTTCTCTGGCAGTGGTTTGTCTTTTTCTTTCTGTGACCCTTTCCTCCCTTCTGTGATATTTGCCAACAGCCCTCCCACCCCAATTCAGAGGCTAAATATCCTTTTACTCTCCACCCCAAATTCTCTACCTCCTCCCCTGCCCTTTCCCCCAACACTTCATTCAACCTGCCCCATGGACAGGATCTGAAATCAGTCACTTAGCCTTCAGTGTGAATGTCAGTCACTCTATTCTCTTTCCCAGAGAGGCTCCCACTTTAAGCCTAAATTCAAACTGAGAAATAAAAGTTTGGCTTCTCTGGGAAAAGGGTTTCAGACAGTAGGGAACAGGTAGGGAAGGAAATTAGGGGACAGGAAATCTAATCATATTATAAAAGTGGTGGGTGACTATCTCCATGGAGAGCTAACCCTGATGCTGAGTATAGGTTTTCCCACAGTAAATGAGCCCCCTCCCTGACTATCCTCTGGGTGAGCCATCCCTCCCAGTGTAGACACACATGATTTACATCTGGAACAACACTGATACACTCTGACGTTATCTGACTTTCCTTTTTTATATAAAACTGGGAGCTCCTTTAGCATCCTTTTCATCTCTAAGGGTCTCTAAAGTCCCTTCGGGCTCGGAATTCCATATCCTAAGTAGTCTTTTCTAGCTCTGATATTCTCTAGTTCTACTGGATATTGGACAGTGGTTGTATGAAAATGGAATTATATCATATGAAATCTGGAAGGAACCTAAGAGTTCATTTACTCTGAAGCTCCCATTTAACAGAAGAAAGAAACTGAGTCTTAGAGAGAGAAAGACTTGTCCAAGGTCATGTGTTGAGCAATGACAGTAAAACCAGACAAGGTGACTCTCTGCCCACTGTTCTTCTATTTATTTATTTTCAGGCAATTGGGGTAAGTGACTTGCTCAGGGTCACACAGCTAGTAAGTATCAAGTGTTTGATCTGAGGTCAGATTTGAACTCAGGTCCTCCTGACTTCAGGGCCAGTGCTCTATCCACTGCGCCACCTAGCCGCCCCTGCCCACTGTTCTTTCCACTACTCCCAGCTTCCTGTCTATGGTGATAGAAGTTTTCATAGGATCAGAGCTGGAACATACACCATAGGTCATCCAGTTCAACTTCCTTATTTAATTTTAGTTTTAACTAGTTTTTTTTTTTTTAAAGACTAGGTCTCCATATTTTGTCTAGGCTGGAAGTGTAGGGGCTGACTATTCAGGGGCCCAATCCCAAGAAAGAATGGCATGGAATTCTGTCTGTTCCATTTCTCACCTGGGCTGGTTTGCTCCTCCTTAGACAACTGGTTCTCAAATCCCCCAAACACCATCTCTGGGTCCTGGGGGCTCACTGGCTGATACTGGACTTAGTGTAGATAACCAATCAGCTTAGTCCACTGCAGCTCAGAGTTCCTGAGCTCAAAAGATCTGCCAACTTCAACCCCTCTCCCAAGTAGCAAGGATAACAGATACGCATCACCATGCCTGGTAAACCCCTTCTTTTACCCATGAGGAAAGTGAAGCCAAAATAGGGAGAGGACTTACTCAAATTCACACAGCTAGCTTGAGGCTGAGCTAGGATTTGAATCTGGGACTCCAAATCCAGAGCTCTTTTTACTACACCATCTGTGTCCAAGATCAAGACTGCTTTCTTCTGTGTTCAACTTTTCTTCAGAGTCTCCTAGTCTTTTTAAATTCACACCCTCATATTCTAATTCAGTAGCATTTTTTCATTCTGGAATGGGTACCCCTAAACAATCTACCAGTTTCTCTTGTTATGGTTGTCACTGGCCCTGTGGCTGGCCTCTGGAAGCAGGGGTGAAGGATGTGGGTGGAATGGGCTCTTCTTGGCCATTGCACACGTGCAATGACCATCAAGCCACTTTGCTCCCTGGCCAGCTGTGGGCCATCTCCTTCCTCCCTTTCTACATCAAGGACACAATTTCTGGAGGTTCTAAAGCAATGAATCAAACTCCCCTGACCAGTGAGAGAATTTATCCAGGAGGAAGTACCCTTTCTACCTCCCCACTCCCTCACCCCAACCCTCACCAAGTACATTTCATTTCCAACCCAGTGGACAGTAACTTACTGCTGTTCTAACAACTTTGGCTGAGGATAGAGTAATCTGCAAAGAAAGAAAACAAAGCATGAGGTTCACATTCTAGACACAGCCCCACCAGTTTCGACCACTGTAAAGACAGGAAAAAGAGGAATTCTTCTTACTGGGGAAAAGGTCGAAATTTCTTTTCTTCTGTGGCTGGCAACTTCATAGAACTGTATCAGAGGAGAAAAAAGAGAAATGAGAGTTTAGACTTTATGGTCCTTTAGGAAGAAATGGAAAAAGAGAAATGAGAGTTTAGACTTTATGGTCCTTTAGGAAGAAATGGGGATGCTCTAGGTGGGCATTTACAAGGCATAAGATGGCGGCACTGGCTATCCCAAGATCCCAGCTAAGGTCATCTCATTCTCCTACTACTGTGACATTTCCACCATTAGTCAGTCACTTCTATTGGTCAGCAATCCAGATAACAACAACAGTAAAGATAGCAAGGCACAGTGGATAGGGAGCTGACCTTGGAGCCAGGATGACGTGGGCTCAAGTCATGACTGACACATCCTGCCCTTGTGACTCTGGTCTCTCAGTACTTCAGACAACTCTCCAAGACTAGAAATTGCAATGACTAATGTGGAAATAAGTTTAATATGATTGCACATGTATAGCCTATATCAGATTGCATGCCGTCTTGGGGAGGGGGGAGGAGATGGAGGGGAAAAAATTTGGAACTCAAAATCTTATAAAAGTGAATGCTGAAAACTAAAAAAAAAAATTAATTAAAAAAAAATAAAGACTAGAAGTTGCAGAGGATGTGTTGACCTGGGTTGGCAGAGGGAATTTCCTCCTTATCAGTGGAATCACAGATCCAATCACTAGGCCTGATCATAATAGCAATAGCTGATGTTTTACATAGTATTTTAAGGTTTGAAAACCAAATTTGCACATGTGATTCCACTTTATCTTCCCAACACTGTGAAGTGCTGTTATTACCACCCCCATTTTGTGGGTGAAGAAAATGAGACTGAGAGGTTAAGTGACTTAGTTATCCAGGGTCACACTGCTAGTAAGTATTAGAGGTGAAATTAGAACCCAGCTCAAGGGATTATACATTTAAAGCTGAAAGGTTCCTTGGAAGCCATTAAATCCAACTCCGACCATTTTGCAGATGAAGTAAATAAACAGGATGCCCAGGGCCACAAAAGGCGGGATTCAAACACAGATGTTTTAGACTACAGGTCAGCCTGTTTCATTCTGCACTATTCCACGCTGCCTCTAAACGGTGTGTCCAGGTTGCAGAAAGCCCCCATGTCCATGTTCCTGCACCTGGGAGAGAGTGTGGGCAGGAAGTGGGGGCGAGCTGGTGAGCAGGCTGCCATAAGTTCCGCCCCGCTCCTGGTCCACATGTTCCTCCAGGAAGGTGAGCTGGTCACACATGACCATGATCCTGGCTCTACAGTTGGGAGAGACCTCAGAGGCCATCCAGTATAAATTCCTCACTTGACAGATAAGGAAACTGAGGTCCCAGGATATTAAATTACTTGCTCAAGTCCCATAGAGGCAGTAAGCGTCAGGGACAAGGCATCGCTTCCTTGTGGAATACAGGCACTACGAGGCACTCTGTAGAAACCAAACAAGCGTGGCTTTGGTGAGGTGAAAAGAACACTGGCTCAAGAGTTAGGAGACCTGGGTTCAAATCCCAGCTCCATTATTTAACAGCTATGTGGTCCTAAACAAGTCACTTAATCAAATGAGATAATATTTTGCAAAAAGCACTTAGCATAGAGCCTGGCTCATGTTCAGTCGTTTTTCAACTCTTCATGGCCTCATTTGGAGTTTTCTTGGCAAAGATACTGGAGTGGTTTGCTGTTTCCTTCTCCAGATCATTTTACAGGTGAAGATACTGAGACAAACAGGGTTAAGTGACTTGCCCAGGGTCACACAGCTAACAAGGGTCTGAGGTCAGATTTAAACTCAGGTCTTCCTGACTCCAGGCACAGTACTCTTATCTATTGAGCCACGTAGCTGCCCATATGGCTCATAGTAGATGCTATATAAATGCTTATTCACTTCCCTTCCCCCTTCCCACTTAATTGCTCCAAGACTTGATTTTCTCATTTGCAAAATGGGAATAACACCACTTGTACCACCTCTGTCACAGAGTTGTTGTGAGGAAGGTGCTATTATTAAAGAGGCATCTGGGCACTAAGGGAGCTGTCTGGTATGACAGAAAGATTCCAGGAGCAGGAATCCAAAGCTGCAGCTGTAGCAGCAGCCCTCTACTTAAGTCACGGGGTTTCCTTGGGCAAAGCACTTCTTCAAAAGGTTGTACACAATGTCATTCTCTATGCAGTTGGGGTAATAATTCCTGCTGGGCCTCCTTCACAAGGTCATTTTAAGAATTAAATTCACTCAACAAGCATTTATTAAAAGTCTGCTAAGTCCAAAGCATTTATGGCTAAAAAAAATTACAATCGACGTTTTCAAGGAGTTTACATTCCACTGATAGAAACATAGAAAAGTAAAATACAAGGTAGGAAGTGAAGAGGGCAAAGGAAAGATCCAGACGTGTGTGTGTGTATGTGTGTGTGTGTGTAGAATCAAGGAAGATGACAAAGATTACATGAAAGAAGGGGTGTTTAAGCTGAATCTTGCAGGAAGACTTTTGAAACAGGATACTTTGGGGCAGCTAGGTGGTGCAGTGGATAGACCACCACCCCTGGAGTGAGGAGGACCTGAGTTCAAATTTGACCTCAGACGCTTACTAGCTGTGTGACCCTGAGTAAGTCACTTAATTCTGTTGCCCTCCAAAAAAAAAAGAGCACTACTTGGAAAAGCGCTTTTTACATTGCTAAAGCAGTTACTATATACATAATATAAGGAAAAAAAGTTATCACTGGAGATCATATAGCCATTTTACTGAAGAGGCAGAAGGCGAAAGCGATTCATGTGATCAGGGAACAAACTTGGAATTGAACCCATGTTTCCAGGCTATAGTAGCTTCACTGCATTTGTTTCTTCAAATTAAAGTCTTTTGTGAAAGGGAGCTTTTTATGGAATCTGGAGGAGCAGAGGATACCTGCTAAAAGACAACCCACCACAGTAATGCCTGCCTCACTGGTGCTTCAGATTACCAATAACTTTTCCTATAAAACCCTGAGGGGAAAGGAGTGTACTACTAGCTCAATTTCATAGATGAGGAGACTGAGGCTCAGCTAACTAGTGATGGCTCCTGGGTCACAGAGCTCACATGGAAGCCCGAGTTCAAACCTAGGCTTGCTGATTCCATGACCAGTGGTCTTTCTGTCATGCTATATTCTTACCTGAGTGACTTCAGGAACAAGCCAATACTGTGCCTTTACACATTACTCAACAATGTTCTTGGAGATTTATTACCTTTATTCCACACCCAAAGCCAACTCAATACTTACAAGGTTTCCGGGCAGGGGAGGTAATATGGGAGGTAATGGACAGACCAATTCCAGGTTAACATCCTGAAAGGAAAGAGATCTGATGCATGTTTCTTCAGAGAAAAGAGCAGTTGCTTAGCAAAAATTAAATTTACCAATAACATAGTCAGGGAATTGCTGGGCCATTTGTTTGACACTACTGTCGACATAAGTCAAAGCTAGTTGTTAGCGAATGGCTGGAGTAGAGAAAAGCAATCTGGATTGTTTTCACAGAAGAGAAAAGTGGGAGACCAAAGGAGGAGAGAACACATTCCCAGTGCCATGATTCTAGGACATTCTTTATAGTATTTACAAATGACTGATTTAAAAACTGCCCCCTTTATGTAAACAGGCACTGCTCTCCTGAACCCCTTCCCCAGCCCCACAGCCCTGGCTGCCAGAGCCTCCCCCCCATCTGCTGAAGCTCTAGCCATACTGTCTGTCCACTCAGACTACAATTCCCGCAGCCTCACCTCCAGGTGGGGCTATTACAAGGGTCAAAAGAATTTCCAGTGCTATAGGTTTAGGGTTAAAATGTATTCTTGGCATCCCCAGATAGAATAAATTTCCCTAAAAACATTATAAAAAAAGATAATTGGAGTCATTAATCCTAAGATAAAGGTATATTTTGGGTTAAAACAGGGACCTTCATTATCATGAATAACACCATTTCTGTATGAAAATGCATTCCCACCTCCAAACAACCAACCCCATACAACCTATTTGTAAACTGAATGCTGCCTCTCTTTATTTCCCTCTGTTTGGTGAGATATTTCATCCCCATTATTGACAGGACCTCTCTTTCGCTTTCTTTCCTGCTCCCTCTCATCCCTCCCCTCCCTTCAACATGGTACTTTGATTCAATAAATATTTATCAAATCATTAAGTCCTATCTTGAGTGGAGAACTCTACTCAGTCCAGGAAGGAGACACACATTTTAGAGAAGACAGAAGTCTCTAAGTTTACAGAGCTCATAATCTAGGAGGGGGAGAATACACAAACATAGATAACTACTATACAATATTCTATGATAAGTACATTAAAGAAGGATAAAACCAAGTGCCATATGGGGTCTAAAGCAGAATAACATTTCCAAAGGGGTACGGGGAGAGGGCAAGGAATTTCACTTTCTTGGAAGAGGCAGACTTTGAAGGATGGGTAGGAATTCCCATAGGTAAAGAGGACAGAGAATGTGCCATATATAGGGAACGGTGTGAACAAAGGGACAGAGTAAAAGGATCATAGATCACTCAGCCCAACCATCTCATCTTAGAGATAAGGAAACTGAGATCCAGATAAGTGACTTGTCCAAAGTCATACAGGCAGTAAGTGGCAGAGTTGGGACTTGAATCCAGGACTTCTGTCTCCAGATCTAGCACTCTTTCCACTGTACCATAGTGGCCCTCTAAGTCAGGAGGGTTCAGAGTGTGCTCAGCAGACAGAGTGTCCAGTTTTGTGGAGAGCAATCATATTAGCAAGTCCAGGAAGACAAAGCCAGATTGTGGAGGGCCTTGAATGTCAGGCAAACAAGTGTGAACTTGACTCAGTGGGGAACAGGGAACCACAGGAGATTTACAGTGTTGGACTATTTATAAACATAGTAATGAAAAGGATAGAATGAACAGCATCAGTAACCAATACCTATCTAAGGGCATCTACAGGTAGGCCTTGAAGGAATCTCTTCCAGGACCAATCAAAGGTTGCTAAGGAACAAGCATTTAGTTATTCTGCCTCAGACATCGGAACAGGAAAAGGGATCAAAGTTTTGGGTTTCTACTTTTCAAACAAAAAGGAAAAAAAACAAACACACATTTCCTTCCTTCCTTCCTTCATCCTGAAAAGGTTCTATATCTATGTCTGTATCTATATACATATCTATATCTATATCCATCTATATCTATCTCTATCTATATCCATATATATAATCTGTATCTATCTATCTACCTATCTATCTATCTGACTCAATCCCTATGAGTGAACAGGTGGGTGGGAGGTTAGTGTGAGCACTCAGGCCTAGACAGGCTCTCCCCAGGGTGTCACATTAAACTTACCAAATGACCAAGAAGATGCTGAGTAAGGTGAGGGTGATGGCTGCCAGAAGCATGCTTCTCCAACGCATTGCTTCGGATCGTGAAGGTTGATTCCAGCGTTGTCGAGCCTGGTGCGCCGTCTTCCACAGTCTGCTAAATAAAAGTACAGGCAGAGATAAAGTCACAGCCCCCTCTTGACCCTATTGCTTAGCATGGGAAAAAGAGTCCTTCTCTCTGTAGCTTCTGCCTGAGACTTGGGAGGGAAGGTAGGTGGTGAAGTGCACAGAGCACTGGTTCTTGAATCAGGAAGACTCATCTTCCCAAGTTCAAATCTGGCCTCAGACACTTACTAGTTGTGGGGCCCTGGGGAAGTCACTTAACCTCATTTGCCCGTTTCCTCATCTGTAAAATGAGCTAGAGAAGGAAATGGCAAACCACTCCAGTGTCTCTACCAGGAAAACCCCAAATGGGGTCACAAACAGTTGGACATGACTGAACAAGCAAGAGACTTGGGAAGCTTCTCTTGATTCCTCCCCAGCTGCTAGGGCCCTCCCCAGTTTACTCTGTATTTATTTTTTTTGCATATGTTTATGTGGGTGTTGTCACCCTTGATAAAATGCAGTTTTTTAGGGTGTGGACTGGTTCATTTTCGTCTTTGTGTTCCCCGGAATACTTAGCACGCGTTAGTCATGTCTGACTCGTCCTGACCCCACTGGGGGTCTTCTTGGCAAAGATACTAGAGTGGTTTGTCATTTCCTTCTCTAGCTCATTTTACAGATGAGGAAACTGAGGCAAATAGGGTTAAGTAACTTGTCCAGGGTCACACAGCTAGTGAGTGTCTGAGGCCACATTTGAACTCAGGGAGATGAGTGTTTCTGACTCCAGGCCTGGCACTGGATGTGCTATGGTGCCACCTAGCTGCCACATAGTAGGCCCTTAATAAATGCCTACTGATTGATCAATTGAACAGCCCCTTAGGATAGGATGATTAGGCCTAGATTCTCCCAAACAATACCTGGCAAGTTAGCATCGTATCTTATCTTAAGGACCTATGGCTTCTCCCTATTATGATCTCACATCCCACATGTCGTTTTTGGCAGGATTGCTTTTATTATTAGTGACTTCTTTTCTCAGGAATCCAAAGGAATGTTTCCCCTGTAGTATTACTCTCCCCTTCTATGAAGTCAAAGAGGTCATTGAGCTTTTTGCTGTTTCACACCTTTACCTTCAGCCTCAGACTGAGCCTTGATCCCAACCACAGACCTCTAATTCTAGCCAGCACAGACTGCTCCTTTGACCTTGGGGCAACATTGCCTTGTGGATTGTTGGATTTGAAGTCAGAGGACTTGGGGTCATATCTCAGCTCTGCCATTTTTATCTGCTTGGTTTTGAGACAGTTTCTTAATCTTTTTGGGCCTCAGTTTCCTCATCTGTAAAATGAGGAGGTTAGAGTAGGTGATCTCTCAGATCCCTAAATCTAGGATGCTATAATTCCTGACCACTGACTGGATCCTAATCCTGACTTCAGGTTTACCAATGACTGATCCCAACCACAGAACCTGAGCAATGGAAGAGACTTTATATATCTTTAAATCCAACCTCTTGCCCAGCCAGTTACCTTACAAAGTTATGGGGGACCAGACAAGAGTGTGAATGCCTCATATCTTCCTGATCCTGATTCCTGATTCCCATGTGCCCAGCACATAGGAGGTGCTTCTTAAATGTTTATTGAATGAACTGTTGCATTGCCAGGATTACATAGTATGAGCTACTGTCCCCATCCCTCAACATTCTGCCCGCAATGTTCTCCTGCACTCATCACATCCATTATACAATATCATTTTATGTCTCTTGGTGTTAGTTATTTTTTCATAGGTATATAACTCATCCTTTTTTCCAGACTCTAATATCCTGGAGTGCAGGGACCAGACATATCTCATTCATCTGTGTCCCTCTCAGTGCCTACGCCATACCGCAAACACACTAGGTGATCAGTAAATGGTTGTTGGATTGTTGGTTGACTAACCCACTTCCTGAGATAATGGGATCCTAGATTCAGAGTTGGAAGAGATGTTATACATCATCAAGTCCAAACCCCCACCCCCCCATTTTATAGATTAGGAAGCTGAGGCCCAAAGAGATTAAATGATTTGCCCAGGTCCCACAGATGGCAAGCATTGGAGGTAGGATTAGAACCCAGGTTTTTCTGACTCCAAATTCAGTACTCCATAGTCTGGTCTCTGGACAGATCTCTCTCTTCCACTTAAATGAATGCAATTGTCTCTATCAGGTTCCCATGATGGATTTCAGGACAGCAGGACACATTCCTTGGGCCCTGGGGACCTCATTGGCCAACGTGCTTTGGCATGGGCACTTTCTTTAGTTTCACCAAAGCTTCCATGGCCAATGTCCCTGTGCCTGGCATCTCTTCACGATGTCCTAAGTTTAGTCCCGATTCTAATATCTACAGAACAAAGAGGAGCAGGTATCAATCTCTACTGAGCATTAACTGAGCTCAGCCTTTAAATCTAGCCCAGGAGGAGGGGCCTTGAGGATATAGTGGAAAAGAGCCCTGGTTCTGAAAGCAAAGGGCCTGAGTTCATATTGCATGTCTCGAATTCACCACTCGTGTCACCTGGGACAAAGCTCTTAACTTCTCTGGACTTGTTACCTCATCTATAAAATAAGTGACTTGGATTAGACAGACCCTGAGGACCCTTCCAGGCCTATGATCTCTCTCCTTATTTCTGTTCCTGGTAGGTGTGGAGACCTCCCAGTGACCAGAGAAGCTCTGCCTCTACCTCAACCAAAGACAGGCTTCCCTTTTAGGCCTCTAATCTATTCTCTTTTAGGTTGTATTAAACCCAAGTGGGCCCAAGGGTACCCACATTCAGCATGCTTTGAAGGTTGGAAAGTTTCCACTGTAAGATCAGAGCTCACCTTAGAGGTTCTAGATGATGGATCTTATTTGCCTACACTCATAATAGCCATCTGCTTCTCAGGGTTCTGTCCTGGACCCTCTTCTCTTCTCTTCTCTTCTCTTCTCCCTATACTACTTCATTTGGTGATCAACTCCCATGATTTACCATCCATACGCTGATGCTTCTCAAATCTCCTTATCCTGCCCAGCCTCTCTACTGGCATGCAATCTTGCATCTCTAACTGCCTTTCAGTTATTTTGAACTGGATATACAGTAGACATCTTAAACTCATTATGTTCAAAATAGAATTCGTTATCTTGCCCTGCTAAACTCTCCCTGAACCCTTACCTTCCATGTTACTATAGAGGGCACCACCATCCTCTCGGTCCCTCAGACTCACAGCTCAGGAGTCATCCTGGACTCCTCACTATCTCTCACCCCCCATGTCCAAGCTGTTGCCAAGGCCTGTCCATATCACCTTTGCAGCATCTCTAGACTACACCCCCTTCTCTCCTCCGACACTGCCACCGGACCCTCATCTCCTCACGTCTGGACTACTACTATAGCCTACTGGTGGGTCTGCCTGCCTCAAGTCTCTCCCCACTCCAATCCATCCTCCATTCAGCCTTTAAAGTGATTTTTCTAAAGCACATGTCCAATCATATCACACATACACATGCTCTCTACAATAAACTCCAGTGGATCCAGAACTCCCATTGCCTCTAGGATCAAATACAAAATGTATTCAAAGACCTTCATAACCTAGCCCCCTCCTTCCTACCTTTCCACTCCAAATCAAGTACTCTTCAATCCAGTGACACCTAGTTTCCTGACTGTTCTACAAACGAGACACTGTCTCTTAGCTCTTTTTCCTCTGTTCTGACTACCGATCTTCCTGGCTTTCTTAAAGTCCCAACTAAAATCCTATTTTCTATAGGAAGCTTTCCCCAGCCCCTCTTAATTCTAGTGTCTTCCCTTTGTAAATTAGCTCTCATTTATCCTGCATATAGCTTGCTTTGTATATATTTGCTTGCATGTTTTCTCCCCCATTCAATTGTAAGCTCCAAGAGGACAGGGACTGTGTTTTCCTTCTTTTTGTATTCCTAACACTAGGCACAGTGCCTGATACTGATACATAGTAGGTGCTTAATGAATATTTATTGATTTATTTATTGTTACCCAGTCTGCTCCTCCCTAGATGAGGAAGACAATCAGACTCTTCCTTCACAGTTCTGATGTATTGCTGCTCATCCACCATGGTAAATGGCAGGCTCAGGCCAGTTTTTCTTAATAGTGTCTTTTTTTTTTTATAAGGGGTAGGGAGGAATAAATGCCTGAATTATCCCTTTCTCCATCATTCTGAGGAGAAAATAGTTAATTGAATCAATCAACCAAAAAGAATTTTTTAAGTGCCTACTAAAGGCACTGTGCCACATACTGGGAGTACAAAGACAAAAAAAAAATCTTTGCCCCCAGGGAGCTTCCATTCTAACAGAGGAGATAACACACGCATATATAAATATATGCAGAATATATACATAATGATTGCAAGGCAGCCTTAGAGCGAGGGTATAGCAGGAGCATCAGGACCATAGATTTAGTTACAGCAGAGTTTGTTTTTTGTTTTTTCTCAAAAAAAATCTCTTTTGTGTTATAGATCCTTTTGGCAGTCTGGTAAAGCCTACGGACCTCAGTACAACACCTAAAATACATAGGATTACAAAGGAAACTAATTAATTAAAATAATTATTCAAACGTTAAAACAACAAGAAGAACCACACAAGTTCACATGAAGAACCCCTGCACTACAAGTAGAAAGGTTTTTGGAAGTTACCTAGTTCAATCTCACCCATTTTACAGATGAAGTAACCAAGGCCCAGAGAAGGAAAGGGACTTGTCCATAGCCCTATGGATAGTGACAGAGTCAAGATATGGATCCAGGTTCTGCTTTTGCATCCAATGCTCTTCCCACTACACCATGTTGCTTTGTCCTTTAGTTTCCTCATTTATAAAATGGGGATAACAATGTCACCCATCTCACAAGGTTGTTGTAAAGACCAAAGACAATATATGTAAAAAGCAATTTGCAAACCTTAAAGCACCACATAAAAACCACCACCATCATCCTTATCACTTTCTTCTTCCTATGATTAAAGGTAGTAGACTGAAAAATCAAATATCCTGGGAAATTAATTCCCAAGTCCTCTTGGAGGCTGTGCCAGTGCATTAGGAGATTCTATTTATTTGTCTGGTCAGTGAGAGACCAATCCTCCCCTCCTCCCTCTCCCCTAGGCGGTCTCTGACAGCTGGCAGTTTCAATACAGCAATAGCTGCAGGGAACCATTGGTGTTTATATGGTTTCCAGGCTTCTTACTGGGAGGCATCTGGGTGGGAGGTTGGTAGGAGCTGCGGGCCAGGATTATTTTTAAGCCATTTCCTTGTGTGTCTGGTTCCCACAAAACAGGGTAAAAGCCCCTAGAGCCTGGGATCTTTTAGTCTAGTTCTCTCTAAACAGATTTGTTGAGAAACAAATATGGGATGACAGAACTAAATCCTGGCCTGGGAACCAGGGTTCTAGTGCTAGCAATAACACTACCTTGCTGTGCTGCTTTGAGCAAGTTATTTCACTCCTCCTCTGAGCCTGTTCCTTAATCAATGAATAAGGGGGTTGTGATTTCCTAACCTGGGGTACACAGTATTCCTGGGGTCTGTGGAGAGATTACAGAGAGGATATGAACTTGGATAGGAAAAATATAAATATTATTTTCACTAATCCTTAGTTTCCTTTGTACCCTACGTATTTTACGCATTTAAAAATATTCTTCTGAAAAAAAGACACCCACAGGTTTCCCCAGATTGCCAAAGGGGTCCATGACACGAACAAGATTAAGAACATCTACATTACACAGTCTCTAAGGCAGGTTCCTTTCAGTTCTAAGATCCTAGAATTCATTAGAAGAATAAATTTCCAGAGACTGTGCTTAAAATAAACCCATGGTGAAGCCATTTCTTCCTTCTCCCCTCCCCCAATTGCTAGAAGCCCTAGGCCAGCTACTCCCTTCAGGGTTGCCCACCCAGAGAATCCTGTTTCTTTGTGATTAGAAATTGGCTGAGGAGCCAGGTCCCACTAGATTCCCCAGGAGGGATTTTCCTACCGAGACAGAAGAGACCCTCCCCGAGCCCCAACTCACCCCTAAGCCTGGGGAGGGCAGCAAGCAGTAGTGAAAGGCAGAGAGACAGGCAGACAGGTAAGCTGGCTGAGAGGTGGGCAAGCAGGGTAGGTGGTGGGCAGGCAAGATGGACTCTCGTGGTCTCTCCGGAGAAGGGCGCAGGCGGCAATTTAGCCTCAGCCAGCTTTAGCGGCACCTCAGTTAGGCTTCCTCTCTCTATGTCCTTGGCGTCACAGTCACCAAGGTTTCTGAGAATCCGGGGGCTTGGAACATCAGTCCTGCTGCAGAGAAAGATCTCTACTGCCTGGACTAAGCTGGAGCGGAGCCACCGCCCTAGCTCCCAAGGCTGCTGTAATCAGAAACTGCGTGGCTTTCCGGCTGGCCCTGGTCAATTTCACTTCAAACTCGAATTCGCTGTTGGTCTGGCTTGCTGCTCCTCCCTTTTCTCTATGCTGGGGGGAAACAGCTTTGTTTCTCCTTGAGGCTAAGGACTGAAAGGGGAGGGATGGAATAGAAGCGAAAGGGAGGGAGGCACCGAGGGAGAGAGAAGGGGGAGGGAGGGGTTGCTTGGCTAGAGGTACGCACCATTTAGAGAGGAAATCACTCTGTTCTGTACCAGCCAAATTTCCTGTCTGTAAACACATAAGCATGCATACCAATACACTTGCACACACGTGTCTGGACTCAGGAACTCTGACATATACACAACATATACTTTCAACCCCCTCAACACAGCCAAATGTGTGACCGCAATGGCTCAAGGTCATTCTTCAAGGTTCACCTGGGGGCTCCTGTGGTTGGAATATAGAGATTCAAACCTTTTTCAGGTTTGAGTAGTCATGTGGGCAGTGAAAAACAATATAATATTTATATAGCCCTTTAAGGTTTGCAAAATGATTTATATATATTATCACATTGGATCTTCACAAAAACCTTGTCAGATAGGGACTATTATCACTCTCATTTTACAGATGAGGAAACTGAGGCTGAGTGGTGGAGTGACTTGCCCAGGGTCATAAGACTAGTTAATGTCTGAGGCAACATTTCAACTCTGGTCTTCCTGACGCCACATCCAATGCTCTATCCATTAGAGTGCTGGACTCAGAATAAGGAATATCTGGGCTCACATTCTGCCTCTGACACTTGCTAGTTGGTTGGGGCAAGTCACTCCACCACTCTCAGCCTTGGCTTCTTCATCTACAAAATGATGGAGGATTGGATTAGATAAACCCTGGGGTCTCTTCAAGCTCCAGCTTTGATCTTTTGGATCCCACTCTGACCTTGGGGAAGTAACTTCTCTGAGATTTGCAAAAATGCAAAAGTTTTACAAGTTTTACAAAACAAATCCTTTTATTAAGGGGATTTGTTCTGTGAAGTTTGAATTCAGTCAAAGGGTCACATTTGAGGACCTAGAGGGACCCCACCCCTGCCCTGAAGGACATAATCACCCAGAGATGGGAAGATGCTGACAGTCAGTCACAGGACTTGTCTCCAACCTAACCACACCCATCAATTTCCTTCAACATTCCCATTTTGTCCCATCCCTTCCTGCACTAAGCAAGCTCCTAACCTCCTTTCTTTTGCCTCAGGGAGATGGCTCTGGAGGAGAAAGTGAGGCTGGTGACTTTGCACAGCCCTCTCTTACATGCAAGTTATGACATCACCTTCCTGATGTTGAGGTCCTCTTTGAGAACTAAGGACAAACAACAGACCCCTTAGGACCTATATAACCTAAAAATTCGCTGGGCGCTCACAGCAAAAGTCACTGGGAAATTCCTCCCCTTTCCCCCCAGCATGGTGGGGGGAGCGGGATCAGGGGGCTGAAGCAGATACTCTTGTTCCAGAGTAGCAACCAATGAGGAATGTCCCACCTTTGCCTATTCATTTAGTTACTTAGGCTACCATCTTTGATACCATCTCCTTATTGTACTTGACTCTTCACTCTCACCTATCCATTTGACAAATCTTAGTCGTTTCTGCTTCTACTACTCCCTTCTCTCTACTTTAGGCCCTCATCAATTCTCACTTAAGAGTATTCTGTCATTAGTCTCCTAACTAGCCTCTCTGACTTAAGTCTCCCCACTCCAACCATCTTTCACAAAGCTGCTAAAGGGATTTTCCTAAAGTGCAGCTCTGGCAATGTCACTCAATAAACTCCTGTGATTCTTTATTGTTTCATCCTTTTCTAGCTGTCAGGTAGGTGGCACAGTTGGGTGATACAGTGAATAGTGTGCTGTGCTTGGAGTAAGAAAGATATGAGTTCAAGTCCAATCTCAGACATTTACTAGCTGTGTGACCCTGGACAAGTGACTTAATCTTTTTCTGCCTCAGTTTCCTCAACTCTGAAATGGGAAGAATCATAATAGCCCCAGCCTCACAGGGTTATTGTGAAGGATCAAATGAGATAATATTTGTGAAATGCTA